ATACTCTATTATTATTATTATTATTATTATTATTATTATTATTATTATTATTATTATTATTATTGTTATTTTTCTCAGTCAGACTTGGTTATCGGAGTAGCTGCACGTTACTTTTTATACAAGGGGAAATCAGCGTTTGAATACCCCAGGTTTATTACGTAGCCCTAGGGTATGGGATGAAATGATGATGATATAGACACACACGAACATAGACTCACATATCACAACCATGCCCAACGCGGACTCGAACCCACAATCCTTAGGTCCGAGACCGCCACTGCACTACTGCCTTAGCGATCTCATATCGCGACATCGATGGGGACGACCTCAGATCGCGACATACATACATACATACATACATACATATTAAAAAGCGTTGGCGAGAGCGGGAGTCCATTTCTTACTCCCTAGTTATAATATAAGCTGCGTTCCAATTCTTAGCACTCGGATCTTGATTTTATTATTTCTGTGTTAGAATTCAATTGCTGTAATAAGAAGACAAGGGAGTCCAATAAAATATTTTTCTTTTAAGGCTGTCAAATGCTTTTACGTAATCAATAAAGTTATTGTATGCTGATAGTATAAATTCCCTTAGCTTTTCAGTAAGGTATGTCAGTACAAAAATTCTTCTGAACATGATCTACCTTTTCTAAAACCATATTGTGTTTCAGATATTTGAATGTCTACAATAGACATTGATCTTTGATTTATAATTTTTGAATAGATGTTATAACAAGAATTTAGAAGACTTATTCCTGTATAATTTGAACATTCCGATTTGTCGTTTTTTTTATATGGTGGGCAAATTGGCGTCATTCCATTCTTCTGGCACATATCCACTGAACCAGCAGATATCAATGAAGTTGAGAAGTCTGTGTATAAATTGATTCAGTGCATCAATTCAATCTTTATATTATCAGTACCAAGAGAATTTTAATTTTTTGTTGTTTTAATGGTTGCTTTCAATTCATCCGTAGAGTTTAGGGTTACATATATCAAATTTAATTCCTATCTCTTCTTCTTCTTCTTCTTCTTCTACTTCTACTTCTACTTCTACTTGAGAGGTTCATAGCGTTTTAAAGTAATTTAACCATTTAGTTTCTTAAATTATGTTCAGTTGAACTATATCAATTTCCTGATCATTTAAATACATTATAATTTTATATACTGTACTTTGTTTTCCAAATAAGTCATGTTCAGTTACGGTAACTCATTTTTTCCAACTTTCTCGTTTAAGTTTAAGGACTTCTCTTTTGTCTAAAGCTGATGTTCTTTTGTGTTCCACTCTATGATTCATATTCCCAGAAGATTAAAGAGTCTTTAAATACGCTTCTTGTTTTCTTTAAATAGTTGTTTGATATTATCATTCCAAAACCTGAGACCTCTTTTTAAAAATTACTTTTTCCTTACTCCTATTGATTCTGCTGGTGCCTGTGTTACAATTTCTTAAATATTTGCCCATTATTCATTTATATTGTTACTTCTTGGATTAATAAGGATTTTCTGCTCTGAAAGTCTACTCTGGTATAAAACTCTTGTACGAAGGTTGCCTTTTATGTTTCGGGATTTGACAACCCTGGTGTTGCAATCGTACAGCTCAATCGTAAAGTTGGATGTTTTGAGGTGATACGTACTCAGAACGTTTTCACATACGAGCGCTATTTGCGTTGTTTACAGTAACTTAATATATTCATCTTGGCCCAAAAATGGAAATGAATAATTGAAAATAAATAAATAAATAAATAAATAAATAAATAAATAAATAAATAAATAAATAAATAAATAAAACTGATATCAGGGATTCTCAAAACGTGTCTTTCCATCAAACTTCGATGTATACTTTTCAACAGCATTACATAACTGTAAAAAGTAAATGGACTTTGTATATTTTTTTAAAATCAATCGTTTGATACTGAGATGAAGCTTGGTGCCTTCCGAGGTCAACGCACATGAGTCAAGAGTGTAGATGTGACGTTGAAGATTATTTTTGTATACTTGAATCATGCAAAGATGAAAAAAACCCTCGTGATGCAAAAAAGCACATACTTTCTCTCATTACTAACGGCTACGTAATATTATAATACCGCAATTTCTTTCCATATTAACGCATCTAAGCCATCACTTATAAATCTTATTACTAGGGATCAGATTTTTATTTAGTATAAAGCGCCAAAATATGTAGTATAATATATAAAATATAAAATAAAAAACGTAAAATACACCTAAAATATGCAGTTAAAATGAGAGAAATTATGTAATACCACATTACTTAACATATCTAAATACATACTAAAAGAAATAGATTATTAGTTTTCTATAACTTGGGAAGGAAAATAACTAGTTTTTCAAATGTCACTAATTTCGCGCTTTTTTATATTTTATATTTTATTTATTTATTACTTCGTTCGTTCGTTCATTCCTTCCTTCCTTCATTTATTCATTCAGTCGGTTAGTCGTTTAGTTATTGGTTGTTTGGTTATTTATTAATTATTTATCTTTACCGTTTACTAAAATTTTAACTATTTATAGTTAAAAAGATAGGAAGGGATTCTGAAACTCAAGAAAATGTGCGCAGATTATCTTGTCCTTCAAACGTCCCATACAATTTTACTGTTTTACTTCCTCTTTACTATGCAAGTGTAAGGTAAGGCGAGAAAGAAGAAACAGGTTCTCTGCCTCCATCGCTGCATGTTGGTTCGTACCGCATCGTGGGCTTCAGCCACCGTCTCGCTTCTGCGGGCAGCGGATTGGAGTGGTGAGAACTAGGACCCGGATATGTACTTAAACACATTTTCCATTAATTTTCACATTTTTTAGTCTTTCCAAGGATAAAAGAAAATATTTTGTCCCCTTTGATAAAGAGTATTTTTAGAAGATGCTAGCAAAGGCGAGAAACAGGATCATTATAACTTTTTAAAATCCCGTAGCGAACTTCTTGGGTATATCCATTGCTCGCGAACAATATAGTGGTATTCCTCGGGAATGATTGTCAGTGTTCTCGGCGCTGCAATGAATGTCCTCTCTCCTCCCCTCTCTTTCATTCACTAAATTCAGTGATTGTCAAAAATGAAGTTGTCGACTGGCGAAAAGGAAACCTTAAATTTACTAGTTTGAATGTATAAGAGGAATGTATCTGTTTCTAATTCCAAATATTGAACTTCTTTAATTAATTTTAAATTTAATAAATAACAGATAAATTTAATACAAATTTCATTTACGGTTATATCATTTATTTTTACATTTCCTAAGAGAGGAGGGGTTATTCAAACTTGAAGTAATTATTTGGAGGGAGGGGGTATCGAAAATACTCCAAATTTGGTTTACGTAATTTACGGACGGACCCAAATGACTACTGATTTTTATCAGTGAAATCGCTAGATGCAAAATAAATGAAGTCAAATGTTACAAAGATGAAGGGAATTTCATTTCTTGGCGGTAGTTACACATTGAAAAGCCAAAACCATTTACAATAATATTCAAGGAAGCGCGAATGATAAAATACCTTTCAGGACGATAAAATTGCTGAACATTGGAGATTTTCGGACATATGGTTCTCCTGACTCGATAGGTAGGGTTAAAATACGAAACGATTTAAAGATCTAATATTAAGATGCACTAAAAATGATTACTTCAATGTTAAGGGCTTAAGGCAGGTTCGAAAAAAAATTAAACTTCTTAATTTAACTTAAAATTACGCAAAAACTACTCCTTTTTTCAAAAAATTGTGCAAGACCTTACTTAAAAACTATTTTTGAAGAACATACTATTTAATTAAGAAACTAGTGGCACTAAAATGAGCACGTAATTTCTGGCCCGTAATTTCACGCAAAATTACACGAAAAGTTCTCAAATTTTCGAACATTTACTTGATGTTATTTCAAAATCTATCTTTAACGAACAGATAGGAAGACGCCGAAACAATTTTGTGAATTTTAGCAGTTTTGAAAAATCAGAGATTTTAACGAAAATGAGATCTGCTCCTTTCTTTGAAACGTCATTCACACTGCCCAACAACAAAATTTAATCTAAACCGATGGAGTCATTTTTTTTATAATTTGGAAGATGTCCCAGGAGATTCATGTAAAGTGCCCCCAACATTAAAATATCAGTTTCAAATTCAAGGCATTCAAATTCGGTTTCAATTCATTAGAAAATCGTGAATATAGCCGCTGTTCAGAGTGCGCCGAGGTGGCTAAGAGCATATACAGGCTCAGCGCTTCGGTCCAAAGGGTTGCGGGATCGAGCCCCGCCTTGGGCGTGTTTGTTTGTCCCTTGACTCTCATGAATGTGTTGTCGCGGAGCCCCTCGCGTTGTGCTGAGCCGAGATCAGAGGAGCCCGCAAGTGAGTTGGCGTCTAGTGTATGGCCAAATATGCGTCCCATTGGGGCTTGATAAAATGGCTATCAGCTGGATAAAAGCCTTGTATTATATATATATATATATATATATATATATATATATATATATATATATATATATATATATATATATATATATATATATATGCAAGGTGTGGCTATTAATTTCCAAGACTGCTCTAATAACACCAGAACAGATGATGTGAAAAACGTATCCTTTTAATATCTAACAGTTTTTAGTCTGGGAAACAAAAAGAAGTCTGCGTCCGTTTTCGACAGAAGGGGAGTTGGTTTCTGTTACATAACAGCGCCCGCCCCCACATTGCGTTGCCAGTGAAGAGGTTTTTGGCCAAGCATGAGGTCGTAGAGCTACATCTGCCGTACTCTCCTGACTTGGCCCCCGCAGACTTCGTTTTGTTTCCCAGATTCAAAACTGTGCTCAAAGGAACACGCTTTGTGTATGTTGAAGACATCAAGAAGAACGTGACGTCGACATTGAAGAGCCTTCCGAAAGAGGGCTTTAATAGTTGTTTCCACAACTTATACAACCGAACACAGAGGTGTATTACGGCAGATGAGGATTGTTTCGAAACATTAAAAAGTTACGTTTTTCACATCGTCTGTTCTTGTGTTATTGGAGCAATGGATGAAACGCTGAGTCAGTTCAAAAGTAAGCACATTAAATTGGTTATATCTAATCCAGAGTTCAAAAAGCATAACAAATGGAGCATTTCCAAAATGATTCATCGTATCCTTGCGACGATAAAACTACTAGCCAACGACTCATTTTTTACATTCCCGGGTGTGACGAAGGCTTACGAACCAGATATAAATACGCATCAAGTTTGTAAAATATTACGTAGTTGTACGAAATGATAAGATAGAATTATGGGAAGATAGAACGTAATCTTGTGGAGGCTTAGTATTTACATCTTAAGTTTTCACCTACGATACCAGAGTATGAATGATGAACTCGTAAGTTAAAATTAATAAGAGCTTATTAATTAAACTCCACTTAGAAATTGCCAGCATTAAAGCTGGCCGTGCAATAGTTCGATAAGCATGGAGCGGTTTAGGGTACGGTTAGAGGGGAGAAGCTGCGCGCATGTGAATCTTCATTGCTTTTATCTCTTCTTTGCCCGCACTGAGAAGCGAATTCCGGCCTCCGCTTCAGTAGGGCTTCATATTATATAATTGTAACTTATATCTTACTAACTCTTCAAATGTCACTTAAAAAATTCTAGCATTTAGTTCATCGATTAGAAAATTGTATATGGAAATGGATAAGTTTATATGGAAATTGCTTTCGGACAGGGAAATCAATGTATTCTGAACCGTCCTCACAGAAAGTTTGAAAAAAAAAAAAAGAATGTTCGCTTCGACGAGAATTTGAACCACAACTCGTAGACTTTTGAGTCGGGTGCCTTGATAACAAGCTTATTATTTTATTGAGACCTCCCTCTTCTATTCCCCTTCCACCCTCTCTTCCCCCATAATTTTCTCTCTTCTCGAACCAAATATTCCTCTTACCTTAATCGCTCACCTGCACATTCATAAACTTCAGAAGACTTTCAATCAACGCATTCAGGAAGAGTATCTCATTCAGACCATACTAATACAATGGCTATTGAGATTACAACAATCCATAACTAAGGTGAGCAAAATTTGCATTTGGTACTCACGCTGCTATTTTATTCATAATTTTAATATAATATGCCTAACACTTTTTTACGATTTTGATTTTGAAATTTAAAAAAATAACATTAAAAATTTGTATTTTAATAATGTAAACTGTTTGAAATTTATACTGCATAATTGTTATTATTTTTATACAATTGTTGCAGTATTTCATAGTGTAAACAGAGATAATGCTCGAAACGTAATTAAATGAATAGTGAGTCATAGTTAGCCCGATGGCAGACGTTCGCGCGTTTACTAGAGGATCGAGACGGATTCGCGCAAATGGGCAATATCGCGCTTCATTCAAATCGAGCGACACGTTCTTACCTAGAGTTCTTTAACCTCCCTCGGTGTACTGGGAGAAACGAAGAAATCCTCACGCCCGCAAATTTCTTCTACCAAATGGCCATACAGAAAAGCAGGTTTAATATCAAAGGTACTTATTTTCAAGTTTTCGTAGGTAGCAATTGCTAGTAGCATTCTTAGTGAATTTGTTTGGACAACGGAGCTGTAGATGTATTCGTAGTCCAGACCTGCTTTTTGCTGACAACCTCGGACCACAAGTCTAGCTTTATAACGACCATCTCCCTTGACTTAAAAAACCCATCGACTTGTCGCAATTTCTTTGCCTATGGCACATTTGTCGTCTACTAAATTCCAAGTATGATTCTTGGCCATGCAGTCTTTCTCTTCTTCTATGGTATCAATTCATTTATTTTTATTTTGACTATTCATACAGTCTTCATAAGTAATAAGTGAATCTTCAACAATCATAGACGTCATCACATAATCTTTATATCTATTAGGCATCTTTCTCTCCCTTTGTGGTCTTTGGTTTAACAGAGGATTTAGTATGGAATCATCACCTGAAAGTACATACTTTTCATACTCATAATCTTCATCTTCACTGCCATTTATTCGGGCAGCATTATGTAACTTTCTATTTCAAAGTGGGAAAGTAAAAGGGGGCATGGTTCCTCTAACGCAAGGGTACATTAATATCCAAATAAAAACAAAACGAAAGATCGTATAATAAAACGGGTTTCGCCATGTTAAAGAGAATATATCAAAGGTTTTGATTCTGTTGAAAGTCAAAAAACGGGTTTTCCGCGAGTTTCCCTTATTTTTTAGGTCTAATATAGCTTAAAACTATTTTTTTAAATATATTTCCAAAAACATTTTCTAGTTTAAACGTAATTTTTTGTTATTTATTGTAATAAAATAACTCGTATAGTTTTTTGTACTACTTTCTCATTTTTAATGTTTTCGAGGGGCACGTTCCAACATTGCCCCGTGCTCAAAACTGTCTAGCTCCAGTACTGTTGTAGCAGAAATTTACTACTCCTGTTTTCAAAAATTCCAGGAGGTATGTTCCCGAGCTCCCAACGGACAATTTATGGGCTAGGATTAATGAGGCAGGGGATGTAAAATTATGTCTTAATATCCTTGATTCCCTCAGGCATTCAGACAGCTAGGCAAAATAATGAATACATGACGATTACTTGACTAGAATGAACAGGGCAACTAGCCAAATATTTTGTTTTAAAAATTCTTTTGCATCTGGTGTTGGCAAAGAAGAAAAGGAAACTTCTATTATTTTAATAGCATAAATGCATATTATCAGCTTTGGTACAGATTCCAACAAACTACGTTTTATGATTATGCAATTTAACCAATACCATGCTTTCAGATACACGTGGGTTATTGTTTAAGAAGCGGCAACACAGCTACCGTTCCACTTGTCTCCGCCATCTTACTTGAACTGTCAAACTCCTCTCTATATCCACATCTGCAGAGCTCCAGAGAGACATGTTTCAAGGCTTATTTTCTGTTGACGCACGCCTGACACGTGATGATTTCAGCGTTGTGTTTATATTTCTTTGTCTTTCAGTTGTAGCAGTCAGTGCGGCGCGAGCCGTTCGATCGGGCGTACTGTAGGCAGTATCAGCTGTAATGCCTGTTTGTCTTGGTTCAGTTTTTGATACCAGAACAAGTGTAAATTAGTATGTTTTCGTGAGTGACAATGGCTTTGTGAAAATTCTAACAGCGGTATAATGTACTCACAACCAGTTACTTGGTGCAAGAAATGTAAATCTAAGTTGGTTTGATCACTTTCACAGTGTAAGAAGCTAACAAGTGTAATAATAACATTATAATAGACGGGTTCCTTGTGGCTTGAAAGGTACGTTAAATTCAGACCAAAAGTGGAAAATTTGATGTCCTTAATATGTTGATTGCTCATTTTCATCTTTCGTCTTAAGAGCACTTACTATAAATGCAAGTTACTTTATGTCAGCTTTGAAAAATGCATGAAAGTGCTTTTATTGGTGCTTTTATTGCACTGGTTTGCATGTGAATATATTTAGTTCTGTTAATAATTTTTCTATATTTTCTGTTTTAGATCAATTATGATGGAGTATTCTGTAAACACTAGGCCACTGCTACAAGAAAGTGAGAGTGAAAGTGATGGTGAAGATGGAATTCTTGATGTTGACAGATCAATTGAACAAGATGACCACATTGTTGTAACTAAGGATATAAAACCACTTTTTAAATTGCGGGAACCTTCAGATAGGTAAGTGTCTTTTTTCCATAGCTTCTGTCTGTATTACATTCAATTTGATAGTACAGTAATTTGCCAATGAAGATTGAAGTGCGGTTATCTCTGCCATAATAGTATGTGCATAATTATATTGTTCATGTACGTTACTCTTGTACTTTGTGTTCAAATTGGTTGGTTCTTGAATGACTGTGCTGAGTAGGCTACTCACAGCAACTTCATTTTCATGACCAAATATCATTGTAATTTGACACATTGAAAACAATTGTCCTGTACTCAGACTCCTGTTTTTGTCTCCGGGGATTATTACTTCTGTATTTTTTCTTGCATTCCATATTCTCAAATTTGATTTCTTTAAACTTTAAATACTAAACTCTTAATACCATGGGATTGTTGTGGATTCTTTAATTTTTAATTCATGTTTGCATGTTAGTTGATTCTAGTTTTGACTCAAATTAACAAAAAGTGCATTAAAAAAATTGATGTGTAACCTCTGGTTTTGAGGGCTTTGTAATTTCTGTACCTATCACATGTTTAAGAGTTATTTTCAAGTTTCTTGAAGTACAAATATGTTTCTCAAAGTTGAGTTCATTCTGAGAAATAAGATTCATGTTTCAATTCAACCTTCTGTTACAGAGTAAAGCAGAAAAGTCTTCTTAGTAGAGCATTATTTGTTACACCAGCATGTTACACTCATTTTAAACAATTTGTTAGTGATGTGGTACACTTGCACATAATGTAATACACAATATGGCAAATATGTTAGGATTATTTTACTTTGTTGAAAATGTGGCATAGGATGATTTCAGACTGAGCCCTTCAAATAACATTTTCATATGTTGTATGTATATTGAATGTTGTTTTCATTTTGAAATGTTCAGTTTTGCTGATAATTACAATCATGAGGCCAAGTTCATATGAACATATTTTTTGTTCTTTCCCTAAAAATGTGGCTGAATATTTAAATCAGATTGGATTTAAGAAATATTCCTGCTTTGGAGGTCTGAATAATAATTTATTTTGTTTGAAACATATGACAATAATGTGCCAAATTGAGAATTGTTTTCATTTCAAAATTTCTTTAATTAATTCTTAGAAGTTGTTGTCTGGATTTTTAGACAGGATTATTGCAAATTCAGTAAAAATCAACATAAAATATTTTGAGCAATTAATGCAAAGTATATATGGGCTTTTACATTTCTTGTGAAGTTAACAAGATATTGGATTTAATATTAATTTTAAGTTAATATCTTTTTGTAATCTAAAGATCAAATAAGTGATCTAAAGATCAGATATATCTCCAATTTCTACAAAGCTTGTTCAGTATTAGATATAATGCTTCCCAACTGGAAATTTGAATTTGAAACAACATGCAGACAAATTTAATGATCTGCACATATATATATATATATATTATCATTTTAAGTAATGAAACACTTTGCTTTTTCCTTTATCTAGAGTTTAGGATATTGGTTTTTCTATCAATAGTGTATGTGAGTGTGTTGTATAAGACATAAGATTCTTATCTAATAATAAAAAAAAGTCATCATGTTTTGAAATTGTTTGCTGCCAGAATTTCTCTTTTTTGCCCCTCATATGGCCTCAAAATGAAAAAATAGTTAGTAGAGACTGTTCTTGCCAGTATCATTTGTAAGCTATATTCTTAATCATTTTTTAAAAAGTCATTGCTCTCATATCAGATATATTTTGAGAACTATTTTAGGGCAAAAAAAGTGCTTATCCTTCTTGCTACTGAGGCTAGAGTCGTGCTTGCCTTATAGTAACGTGATTTGAATCCAATCAGAATCCCAGCCATTTCATGAATACCTGTTGGGTGATCATGATTGCTTTACAGTTGGTTTTCTTCTGGTATTTTTAAGTCTTATGCTTTTTTCTATTACATGGGGTAATTATAATGGTTTTTATGATGTGATGAGTAGTTTTTTAGATACAAATATAATTTCATTATGCATCAGTGGTTTAAATTTTTCTTGTGGACAAACACATTCATAAAGGGCATTTTCTTGTAAAGTTTTTGTGAGCAAAAATGTACACTACATGCATGCAACATATCTAATGTGTATTAGTAGATGGCTCAGCATCATGTATGATTTTTGTGCAAGGAACATTGTACCAGGTAAATTCTCATTTGTAATTAATGTAATATTTGCAGTGTTGGATGAGGAAGTGATTCAGACTCTCAAACAAATTTTGGGAATAATATTTTTTTTAAATATTAGCATGAAATTAAATGTTCATAATGAGAATTTTGCTTTGGATGTAATGAGATATTGTGGAGTAATAAAATTGTATTTTATTACTGGCCAGGCTCAGACCATTAGGCTTGCTCTTCTTTCTATGTTAAATATTTTTATTATTTTATTTACTCTAAAAATGATGAAGGGGGTGGGCTGGAATTTAGGCTTAATTTCTGGGAATGCATACCAGGGGCCAGCCCGGCATTTGTCTTAAACAATTTAGTACACCCAGAAAAGCTCAATCAGGATGACAGCTGAAGACAGAGGACATTAGTGAAATAGAAAACCTAAAACTAAATACATAAAGAAAAAAAAATATTAAAAAATCGTATATTCCACAGCCATCATCGTCATCACGTTCTTCCTGCTAAATTTGCAAGTTGCTGCTGTATTATACCATTTTCAAAAACAGGTCACTGGCGTTTGAGAGCCAAAATAAATAAATAAAGAAAAAAGTAGGGGTGCTACAAAATACGCATTCTCGCATTATTTCTATCTGCTCCACCTTATTATACTACTACATAAAACTACAAAAGTGTTTTCAACCAGCAAATTTTTTCTGCACAAAGACTCGTTCTAAGAGTTAACTCGCCGTGAACCTTGCCTCTACTGTATCGAAACGTAGTGAATTCCGAAATCTGTCTTGTAGTTTTGACATGTTACTTTTTCGAACATACGTAGAGTTTGTCGAAAATAAGACTAGCGCCTGTTTTCTACCGTATTTTGTTACTGTTGAGGCTGCGAAGCTTGCTGCATTGCTTAGATGAATTGTGAGAGCATTAGCAGAAACTGCAATGAGAAGTTTTGTGCATCGCCTTCTGTGTTCTCATCAGACGGGAGAGTTCTGAAAAAGAGCGACACATAATAGGCAAAGATTATTACTTTGCGGAAAGAATCAATGAGTATTGAAGAGATTGTCGTGGTTACCTCTGTCTGGACGAAAATAAACGTTCTCCTTATGAATTTCACTTCATTCATGCTTTCTGCTTTTTCGCTTCGCGTTTCAGCACTGTTGAAAAGAAAATACACGATAATTGCTTGCTGGCAACGTACCACATACTTTCAATGTACCCATATGCGTATTGCATAGCTCCTCGGCACGATCACTGAAAATCTGAGGAGCCGCGAACATTTTTGTAATCAATGCGAGCTCGTCGCGTTCAATGTGGGAAAAAATTGGATTCCAAGAAATGTAACAATGCGCAAATCTTCCATCGCGGCGGCTGCCTTGGTGCAACATATTAGTGATTTCAAAGAACTTTTTTACAGAAATGAGTATTTGGTCAATTCGCGCCGTTTTTTGAGCAAGATTAGACCGTAAGCGGAGAATTTGAAATGTACGAGATTTTCTTCTTAAATGCCTTCAAAGAGCAGCTAAACTGAGCTGTTCAAAGCGTGGCGCCAAATTTGAATTAATTTGGCGACCCATTACCAACAGTTACAAACGAAAAAGAAAAAAAATACATTTTTTTAAAGAATTTGCATAAATTTGAAACACACATTCCGCGAACTCTACTCGTTTTCTTTTTTTTTCAAAAAAGTGTTCATGTTCTTTCTTAGAGAGCTAATTTTGTTATAGCTGACTTTGTTCAAGGAAAAATCGCAATCTTCAATTTTGTAGGTTTGAAATGTTAGTTTTTGCAATTTTTTAATTACGGAGAGTTAACCGCAGATGGGACTAGCACCATATTTTTTACCGTCTCCTTTTTTTATAGAAATTGTTTTAAATAAATTTAAGGTGCCTATTTTGCGCAAATTTACGCAAGAAAATTACCCATGTTTCCGAAAAATTTACATGACATTATTTTAAGATGTCTAAACGGAAGATATTGTAATAAGTAAAAAAATTTTATCTTTAATATTATAGTTATACGAAGGCGCCCCAAAAATTGCATTTTTGCAATTTTCGAAAAATCAGGGATTTTAATGAGTTTGAGACCTGCACTATTCTTTTTGGCGTCCTTCACTTGGAATATAGACTTTAGAGAAAATCGGTGAAACGTTTTCGGTGGCAGTTCGACCACATACAAACACGATTAGACAGGCGTTTCGCTTTCAATCGATTTTTCGGTATCAAAGACCCACGTGGTGTAGCATTTTGGCTAACTTACAGTATATAGGAACGGGATTTATCCAATTTTTCTTTAAGAGGGCAATACGAGTTTTTCTGCCGAAAATTTGCTGTTTTCTTGCATACAATTACAATGCATTCTCTTCCTATGAAGTAAGTGCGATAAAGCAAAAAGATGAGAATATATATTTTTGACTTTCTACATTGTAAAGTACTTACATTGTAAAGAACGTATTTACATTGTAAAGAATGTATTGTAATACTGCGGCGGAAATGGGCGATTTGGGGAAGAAAAAACTGCCCGTATGTGATCAACGATTGCGCCTAGGCCGTTCAGGCGATTTTCATTTCATGTTCTCAAATACGGCTCCAGATACTTTGATTGAACTTGGTCCTTAGTGTAAAGGACGCTTAGAATATGTATATATATGTATATGTATATATATGTATATATATATATATATATATATATATATATATATATATATATATGTATATATATATATAAATTTTCGGCTTCCTAAAACTAGAATATTAAAGAAAGATTTTTTCCCGTAATGAAATGTATTATCACAAACAGATCCTAGGATAATTTCAGTACGATTTATACATGTAGTTTTCGTGTAATTTTGGGTGAAATAGTACGCAATGTCTGAGGAGTTATTTTCTGAAGGCGGCGAAGCTCA